AACTTTAAAAAAACTTTACCACCAAACAAACAACCAAACAAACAAACAGAGAGAGGTGATGAAATGACTGCTAATCACCTGGGTGGATGAGCAGAGAGAGGCTGACTTGTTTTAAGTAAGAAGAGTGATCTGATGATGTCATAATTTATAGTATTGAACCTGTGGGCGGGGCTTAGTCTGACTTACCCAGTAGCAGCTTAAACATCCTTTTAGGACGCACCTCTTCTAAATCTCTTTTCCTAAACTTGAGATAAAGGTAGCAGGTCTAAACAGAAAGTCCTGCATTGTGCCATCTGAGGTTCCTGTGTGACATTTCTATGATCATTTGGCTTGCCTTAGAGCTGATATCAGGCGTATTCAATCCTGATCCTGGAGAGCCGGTATCCAGCTTGTTTTAGTGGTTTCTCTGCTCAAACACACCTGTGCAGCAGCTCATCAGGCTCTGCAGAAGCCTGTTAATCAGCTGCTGATTAAATCAGGTGTGTTGAAACTAAAACCTGTTGACCTGCCCTCCAGGACCAGGATCGAATACACCTGCTTTAAATGTTTAAGGAAAGCTTTGTGACAGTTTGAAGCCCTTTGGGTTTGAGATAGAATAACAATAAATACAAAATAGGATTTTGAAACAGTAATTCGTGCTTTTATTACATCAAGGCTTGATTACTGTAATTCTTTGTACCTTGGTGTTTCACAATCCCACCTCTCTTGGTGCAGAATGCTGCTGCACGGCTGCTCACTGGGATGAAAAAGATGGAGCATGTTACTCCTGTCCTGGCCTCACTGCACTGGCTGCCTGTTTGTGTTAGAATCCAGCACAAGGTGCTTTTATGGGTTTTTAAATATGTGCATGGCCTTGCTCCAGATGACCTCTCTGAGCTGCTGGTTTTCTACTCCCCTGTACGGTCTCTGAGGTCGGCTGATAGGATGCTCCTGGAAGTCCCAAAAAACAGACATAAGCTCAGAGGTGACGGGGCTTCTCTGTAGCGGCCTCTAGGCTCTGGGATGAGCTGCCTTCGAGCGTTAGGTCACCTCCTCTCTGTCTGGTTTTAGATCTCTTTTGAAAACATGTTTTTATGATGTGGCTTTTAACTCAGCATGAGTCGTTTTAGTGTTTCTAGTGTTGTTCTTGAGCTTTAGTCTTTATGCATTTTTATGTTGTGTATTGTTTTTATGTTTTATTTCTGTGAAGCACTTTGGTCGGTTTTAAACTGTTGTAAGGTGCTACACAAATAAAGCTGCCTTACCTTACAAGCATTTCATCTCTCTGTTATGCCTGATTAGATTAGATTAGATTAGAAACATTAAAACCTGGATAAACCTTTCCGTGTGCAAGAGGAGACACATGTTCCTAACACGGAAACGTCTCAGGTAGGGTGAGGGAAGAGGTCGGCGTACCTGGAGGGCCTCGGTCTCCACGGTCTCCTTTGGGCCCCCCAGTCCCTTTACAGTAAGAGCAAATGCAGAAAAACGGGATCTGGTCGATGGACGGAGGCACCGGCGCATTGAACAGCATGTCACAGATGGCCGTGTTGGACACTGGGAAAGACGTGGAGTCGGTGGGTAAAGCCAGCTGCGAGGTGGGGTCGAACATCCTGTTAGACGACATGTTTCCCAGGAAGTCATAGCCAGGAAATGAGGCGGACCCCTCTGCGTGCTCCGACCACTGGGGAAAACCAGGAGCAGATCTTTTCTCTACACGTTTAGTCTCTTCTTGGAGGTGCATGCCTGAGCAGGTGGAGGACAGGACGAGGAGTCCCAGCAGGCTGGACAACACCTGGATCAGGAGCAAAAGGTCAGTGGAACAAGGAAGATGAGCTAAACACAGCTTTTCATGAGATTTACTAAAATGATGTTAGCCCAGGATTCGCCCTGGCCCTGGAGGTAACAACACCTGACTACAGAATACGTTCTTAGTTTAGTGTTTTTCATCATTTACATTTTTAGATTTATTCATTAACATCAGTCAATAAGAGATCAGATCTGGTGTTTCAGGTAAATCCTGCGATGCTTCAGGAAGAACTCACCATTCTCTCAGAGCCGTCCAGCATCTTCAGCAGAAGGATTTTTAAGAAGATGAGCAGGATGCAGGCAGCTTTGATGCTTTTATAAGCGTCGCCCTCAACAATGCAGCTCTCAGCCACTGTCTCGTCGGGCCGACCCACAGACAAAAGGGTGAGGACAGGGAGGGATGTCCTCATTGTAGAGGAAGAACTTGGCTTTCTGCCCATCTTGTCTCCTTCTGTTCCATGAAAAGGTGAAAACACGCTCAGATGTGAAAGATGAGACACGGCTCGGTGTATCGCTCCATCTCTCCACACCCTCAGTTTTGTTTCTTTTTTACAGGAACTCCCGTAGCTGCAGATGATTCTGTCTGCTGGGTTTCACCACCGCCTCCATGTTCCTTACAGGTAGAGTCCTGCATCACATCGTCTCACAGGACTTTCCCTTCAAACCCAACTGACTTCTCTTTCAAACACACGGGGCAGAGACAAGACCAGAT